TATTGTAGTTGTTTTCTTTTTTTTTTTTTTGCCTAATTAGGAATATCTTAAATCACAAAATGATAAAAATACTTTCATCTTTTATTCTTGTTGCATTCTAACATTTTAGTTGCATTTTAGGATTTAATCATATTTTTAAATGCATAGTTTTAAATCATAAAAAATCATCGAAAAATATTTTATCTTTCATTTAGTGTTAATTGCATTTAGGAATTAATCACGTGTTAGTTGCATTCATAAAATAAAAATCACAAAAAAATATTACTATATTAGTCATTTTCTTTGCATGTTTTAATTTTATTGGCTTAAATTGATTCACAATTTTAATTAGTTGATAAGTGGTTTAGTAATGCAAAAGAGGAATAACTAGGAGTTCAATTAAGTTGGCTATTTTTGAAAAAGGAATTAGAAGAGAAAAGGGAATTGTTTAGTCTTGTCTTCGAATTGGGCCAATGCCCAACAACCCAATTAAATTACAAAACCCGTCCAAATTTCGCCCCAAGCCCAGTCTCCATAATGCGGTCAAATTCCCCTATAACCCAAATGACCTCGTTTTGGCTTAAAATAATCACAACCATTCATCAGATTTAATCCAACGGCTGAGAACTCCAATCCCTAATCCTTTATAATTGTCCTAACATACCCCCCAAACCCTAGAGACCCCCCCCCCCCCCCTCATTTCTCCATCTCTCTCACTATCCGCTCAGAGCCGCTGCCAGAAATCGCCTACGACGGCGACGCACTCTAAATCCACCCAAAATTTCACCCCATACTCCCCATCACCTCCTCATGCCCCTCCCGTCATAAGATTTCCAAAAAAAACACTAGATCTCTTCGATTACTAGATGTAGGTTTGGCCGAAAATGCAAAATCACCCATTTTCATCTCTTGACCGATTCCGACCCCTTTTCACGTTAAAATTTATATCGAACGATGGATTTTGACATAAGCTGTCGATTGGTGTTAGTTTTAGTGTGATTTCATGTTCGCTGGGAGCTGGTCATTTTCTGTTTGACCCATCTGAAAACTTCAAATAGTTTCTCGCATTCTCTCTCCCTCATTCATAGCCGTCCGAACCATAAGCCAAGAACATAAGGAACGTTCAAGGTAGCAGACCTTTAGGGTTCAAATTCCTCCAACCTCTTCAATTGATTTTTACCGGCCAGTTGATCGATATCGTTATGTGTAGCACCGGTTCCGCTTTCGTGCGTTGAACCAGTGTTCATGTCACGGCATTGGTTGTTGTCCGGGTTTCTTTTGCCGACAGTTGGACCACCATCGGTAATTTCTTTGCTTTTATCCCTAATTTCTTTTGATTTATTTACTTGAGCATGCTTAATGTTTGTCATATGCTTGTAGTGTTAAATGATCAGTTAATTGATTTTTGGTTTAGGATAATTTAAAGATTTTTAGATTAGTTGAATGCATGTTTAATCAGCTATGATTGTATATCGTCTGCATCTGTTAATTGAAGGTCGAATTAGCTAAAACTCTTGCATATTTTTGTTCCCTGATTCTTGTTTGGGCTTTGAGGAATTCGGGCTTGTATTGATAGGTGTCATTGGGCTAATATCACTTGATCCAGGCCCAAACGTGTGAGGTTGGGTGAGTTTAAAAGGTAACAAAAGTAAATACAAGTAAAAGAAGTCTGTGATTTGCAAATACTAAAATAATGAAGGGTACTTTACGAGGCTTAAAAGGGTAATTGGAGAATTAAATATTTTGATTGAATCTTTTTATTATTTGTTGGAAAGGTTCCAGAAGAGATTAGTCGGGGCCAAAAAGCAATAAAACAATAGAAATTAGGTCAAAAGGGAACTTAAGGTTTAAAGTACAAGGGGGAGGGGGGGCTGGAAGGAAAGAGAGGAACATCTGAAAGGGACAGTTGTACAAAATCTGTTAGAGAAAGATGCCTTTTCCCCTATTTTTTAGAGTTGTCATATTTTTCAGATCATTCTCTCATTTTGCTATAAAAGACACCCCTCCCGCAGATTTTAGGACATATTAATTCCTGCATTTTCAGACACATTTTCCTTTCACTCATCTTTACTCTCATTTTCACGCAAAAGTTCTGGAATTTCAGCGTTAAAATTTCAGAAAATATGAGAAAAAGCTAAAAAAAAAAAGGAATTCTTCTCAGTTTGCTTCAATTACAGCTATTTGGCCTCATATTTTTGGGATTGAAGTTCAGTCCAGTTTCAATTTCTGCTATTTGTTGTTGTGTTGTCAAGTTGTGGTTGAATCTGATTTCTAGCTGCACTTCTAAAAAATTAGAGTTATATTTTCCTTCTTCCTTGTTGCTTTGGCTGTTGTTAAGGTACGGATACTCTCCTTCGATATAACAGTACTCAAATGCTATAATATCATCAGACTTGCAATCATGGGTCGACTATATGTTTGATAAATGTTCCTTGAAGTAGTTTAGTCATTATGTGTTTGATTGAATATTATCTGCCATGTTTGTTTGCGAGTAGAACTGGATCTGAAATTTCAGCATATAGAACTAGTATAAATCTGAACATAAGTGTTCATGATGTAGTAATCATGGAAACATTTTAAATTATATATGTTGACCAGTTAAAATGAAGTTAGAATTGAGATTTTCAGGTTGGTTTGAAGTTGAAGAAATGTCCATATCCAGCAGTAATGTATTGACCAGTGCTATATAGATCTGGAATTTTGAAGAAGAAATATGGAGGAGTTCGTTTGTATTTTGATTTGATCTCAGTTACGTTGTTATTTAGTTTAGGATTTGGAGACTATTTCTTATGGATAGTTTTTTTTTTGGTGTAAAAATGAGTTGAAAACAGGTTTGTTGTTATGAATAGAATTGTACTTAGAGTGAATCTCTATCATTTAGAGAGTTTGTTACTTTGTGGCTAAGTCATTTCCTCCCCATAAATAGATGGGCTTTACCTCATTGTAAATGATCTGAAATTCAATAAGAATTACCTCTCTCTTTCCTTGCAATATTATTCTTTCCTTATTGTTTTATTTCACGTTATCAGCACGAGACTCTACCGTCTCAAGAAACTCTTTGAGAAGACTAAGGTATAATTTTTCTACTCTTTTAATAATGTTTGATATTATGAAACGAAAGTTCGTTGCCCTTAAAATTTCGGGCAAGAACTATATGTCGTGGTTGTTGGATGCTGAAATCCATTTAGATGCAATGGGTCTTGGAGATACCATTAAAGATAAAAATAAAGCATCTACCCAAGACTGTGTTAAGACCTTGATTTTCTTGCTCCATCACCTTGATGAAGGGTTGAAAATAGAATATCACACAGTCAAAGATCCACTTGTTTTGTGGAATATCTTAAGGGAAAAATAGGACAATTTAAAGTTGGTCACACTTCCAAGCACGATATGATTGGGCTCATCTGAGGCTCCAAGACTATAAGTCTGTTTCTGAATACAATTCGGCGATGTTCAGAATTACTTTTAAGTGGAAACTCTGAGGAGATAGTATCACTAACTATCATATGCTTGAAAAAACGTTCACAACGTTTCATGCCTCCAATATGGTCTTACAATAGCAGTACCGAGAGAAAGGTTTCAAGAAGTATTTTGAGTTGATTTCTCTTCTCCTTGTGGCTCAACGAAACAATGACCTGCTCAAGAGAAATCACGATAATCGACCTATTGGGTCTACACTATTGCCTGAAGTGGATGAGGTGTATTCCCATTATGCTAAGCGTGAAAAAGGCCGTGACCCTATTCGTGGTCGTGGCCGCGGACAAGGAAGAAATTTTTCTGGTATTAATCATCCCCCAAAGAAAAATAACCACCAAAAGTGGAAAGGGAAAGATGAGAAGCCAAAGACAAATGGTTGAGAAACCGAATGCTACCGTTGCGGTGGAAAAGGGCACTTGGCAAATATTTATCGTACACCAAGACATTTGGTTGAGCTTTATCAAGCACCTCTAAAGAATAAAGGCCCTGAAGCTAATTTTGTCTATGACAATGAATTTGACATCACCCATTTGGATGTGACAGATTGTTTTGAGCACCCTAATAAAAAAATAGACCACTTGATCGGTGATAGATCCGTGATTAAAGATGATTGAATAATTTGATTTTTATCTATTCATAGTAATTAGTGAATAAAGATCATGTAATCATAGTCTTTACATCAATACTAGTTTTTCAATTAGTATCAATTAGTTTAGCGATAGTCGTTTATTTAATAAAGCTTTCGTTCTATCTGACTTTGTTTTGATTAATCATTATTTGTTATTGATTTGGTTTACTTAACTTTTCTGTTGACTAGCAAAACAACAAATTGATAATTGGTTAAGTACTAAACAGACGAAAGAGGCTAGTAAAACGAAGAACATCTAACACCAAAGAAATGAACTTAATGTTCTTTATTCTTGGACAATTAATGAGTCAAATAATAGTTAATAAAACTTGGAGTTCTCCGTCAATTTTGATATTTGAGAAGTACACTGAAATCAGAGGCGGAGCTAGGATTTGAAGTGTGTGGGTTCTAAATTTTAAAATAAAATACTGCTTTTAACAAGAATAGAACCCCCATATTTCCCAGTGAACCCACAGTCTTTACCATTGAATCAAGACCCCTTTTGTTACTGGATTCGGCAGTATATATTTATATAGATTTAGTAAATATTTCAATAAAAATATAAGGTTCGCCCGAACCCACACTCACTGCTGTAGCTCCGCCCCTGTCTGAACCCATGTCTACCAAAATGAGTTTAGGCTTGCATGTTTTACATTAAAAATTATTGGTGGAAAGTTTTAAGAATCGGAGCAGAATGATAAGAGAGAAATTAACTTCTTGTTATGTTAACAGTCAACTTGTTCACTATTACATTTTTTAAAATATGTGACAATAATTGCATTATTCTTAGCTATGTAATTGTTTGTATCATAATTAGAGTTTGCTCGAAATTGCATTAAAAGTCACTATTGAACCATTGATTTAATTTTATTTATTTTTTCTTTTTCTCTAATAATACTGATGTTTATTCATATATTTCTTTTGTATGTCAAACCATGTGAATCAAATATGGATACCTCACAAAGCAAACTTGGATCGAGTTTTAATTGTAAAAATATTTAATTAATTGATTCATATACGACACATACTATATTCAAAGAGAAGAAATATTTCTCTCATTTAAGTATGTATAAGGCAGATGTTACTATAATTTTTAGTAGTAGTAATTTAATTGAAGGCTCTGAAAGAGCTATTATAACTCTACCTAAGGGAACAATGCTTATCATAAATAATGTAATGTTCTCCTCCAAGTACAAGAGGACTTGTTGAGTTTTAAAGATATCCGCTAAAATGGATATCATATTGAGACAATAGATGAGAATAACCTTGAATATCTCATCGTTACCAAAAATATCTCTAGCCAGAAAAGGGTTATTGAGAAATTCCCATCTTTGTCTAGTGGACTGTATTGGATAAGAATAAGTTCAATTGAGGCACATTCTATTGTAAATCAAAAGGTTACTAATTCCAATACTTTTGTACTTTGACATTATCGATTGGAATATTTGTGGACCTATTCACCCACCTAGTGGGTCGTTTAGATATTTTATGGTCTTAATAGATGCGTCTTCTAGATGGTCTCATGTATGCCTATTATCATCTCGCAACCCCGCATTTGTAAAATTAATGGCACAAATAATTCGATTACGGGCACAGTTTCCCGATAATCCAATTAAGTCTATTCGACTTGATAATGCTGATGATTTTTTATCCCAAGCATTTAATGATTATTGCTTATCAATTGGGATAAAAGTGAAACATCCTATAGCTCATGTTCACACTTAAAATGGCCTTGTAGAGTCTTTAATTAAACATCTGTAATTGATTGCAAGACCGTTACTCGTGAAAACAAGGTTACCCATTTCTGTTGGGGTCATGCCATTTTGCATGCAGTAATGCTTCGTCTCAGACCGACAAATTATCATAAATATTTTCCGTTGCAATTAGTTTTGGGTCATAAACCTAATATATCCAATTTATGAATTTCTGGATGCGCAGTATATGTGCTTGTAGCCCCGCCATATCGCATCAAAATGGGTCCCCAAAGAAGGTTAGGAATATATGTTGGATTTGAATCGCCGTCCATTATTCGCTACCTCGAAATATTAACGGGAGATTTGTTCACTGCTCGATCTACAGATTGTCGATTCGATGAGGTATTTTCTCCAAAATTAGGGGGTGAAATTGGTGAAATCAAACGGGAAATTTCATGAAAAAATCCATCATTATCTCATCTTGATCCACGCGCCTCTATTTGTAAAAAGAGGTGCAAAAGATTATCCATTTACAGAAAATATCAAATCAAATTCCAGGCGCATTTACGGATCTGAAAAGGATAACAAAATCACATATCCCTGTAAAGAATATTCCAATCCGTATTGATGTCCCCGTTGGACAATCTTCTAATGTCATAGCTAACGAGTCAAAAGCAGGCCTAAAACGTGGCAGACCATTGGGTTCTAAGGATCGAAATCCTAGAAAAAGGAAAACAAATGATCATGATGGCACTATGAAAGAGTCTCATGAAGAAATCCACGATTTAACCAATCCTGAGATTCATGAGAAAATCACTGAGCATGATACCCAAGAAAATAAGGAACTACTAATAAATCCAATCGATATTGAGACAAATTTGAAACAATGGGATATAGTGGTGGATTATGTCTTTGCATACAATGTTGCATCTAGCATTATGTAAGATAGTGAGGATCCTGAACCTCAATCTGTTGAAGAATGCCGACAAAGACGTGATTAGCCAAAATGGCAAGAAGTAATCCAATCCGAGTTAGATTCACTTGCGAAACGTGAAGTTTTTGGGCCTGTATTCCAAACGCCTAATGGTGTTAAGCCCATTGGCTATAAATGGGTCTTTTACGTAAAAGGAATGAGAAAAATGAGATACAAAGATATAAGGTACGCCTTGTTGCACAAGGATTTTCACAAAGGCCTTATGTCGATTATGAAAAGACGTATTCTCCTGTTATGGATGTTATAACGTTCCGTTATCTCATTAGTTTTGCTGTCCATGAAAATCTTGACATGCAATTAATGGATGTGGTTACAACCTACATTTACGGCTCACTCGATAATGAGATATACATAAAAATTTTCGAAGGATTTAAAATGCCCGATGCACATAATTCAAAGTCCCGAGAAATATTTTCAATAAAATTACAAAGATCTTTGTATGGTCTCTAAATCAATCAAGAAGAATGTAGTATAACCGCCTTAGTAATTATTTATTAAAGGAAGGTTATATAAATGATGCCATTTGCCCATGTGTTTTTATAAAAAAAATAACATCGGAATTTGTTGTACTTGCCGTATATGTTGATGACATAAACCTTATTGGAACTCCTATAGAACTCCAAAAGGCAATTGATTATTTAAAGAAGGAATTCGAGATGAAAGATTTCGGAAAGACAAAATTATGTCTCGGTTTGAAAATTAAACATTTGGCAAACGGAATTTTTGTTCATCAATCTGCCTACACAGAAAAGGTATTAAAACGGTTTTACATGGATGAAGCATATTCATTAAGTACTCTGATGGTGGTTCGATCACTTGATGTGAATAAGGATCCGTTCCGACCTCAAGAAAAGAATGAAGAGCTACTTGGTCCTGAAGTACTATATCTTAGTGCAATTGGTGCACTAATGTATCTTGCTAATACTACAAGACGTGACATAACTTTTTCAGTTAATGTCTTAGCAAGATATAGCTCTGCTTCTACAAGGAGACATTGGAGTGGAATCAAACACATACTGCAGTATCTAAAAGGAACTACTGATATGGGCTTATTTTATAGCAATAATTTCAGTCCCGATCTTGTTGGTTATGCCGATGCTGGGTATTTATCCGACCCACACAAGGCTCGATCTCAAACAAGCTATGCGTTTACCTGTGGAGGCACTGCCATATCTTGGCGATCGACTAAACAATCAATCG